AGGGGTGACAGGTGGGGCGAGTCCATTGCATTGGGGGGGGTGACAGGTGGGGCGAGTCCATTGCATTAGAGGGGTGACAGGTGGGGCCAGTCCATTGCATCAGAGGGGTGACAGGTGGGGCCAGTCCATTGCATCAGAGGGGTGGCAGGTGGGACGAGTCCATTGCATCAGAGGGGTGGCAGGTGGGGCGAGACTTGTAATTTTCCCAATTTGGTTCAGAGAACAGGAACTGAAGAAATTGTTTTACCCTCAAAAGTTAAATTTTTTGGCCAATTTCAGCTGTATCAATTCAAAAACAATAACTTGAATCATGCCATCTTTTCAGTATTACGTTCAAATATCAAATTAAGTATTTATACTAAGAATAGGCCGCGAAATTAAAACAATTCATGATAGCAAAGGCCAAACCCCGTCAAAATGGGACCCTCCCTATATAAGAAAATATCTAGGAAAAGTTATATCCAAATAAATTAGTTCCATGTGCTAAAGAACAAAAATCTCGTGTTTTTAAAAACCGGGATTGTAAATTTATATAAATTTGAACTAAACAGTAAAATGTAGGCTGTTGAAAACCATTTAAGATATTTTATTTCAGTTTGCTAAAACAGCTTGGAGGGGTTATTTAGAAAATATTGGTTATTTTACAACTATTTAAAATTTAGGTACCACAGAAAACCGTCAACCACAAAAACATTGACAGTACGTATTTACAGTTCAGATTGAATTTGAAAGTCCTCAAAGTTAAACACTAAAAATAACTCTTTCTATTGATTACTACTATAACCTTATCATAATAATTTTATAACTAAGTGAAAAATAAAACGCCAAGTTGCAAAATTTTTTTTATTGAGTTTTCATATAATAGATGTACGAAGGAGCGTGGGTTCCTGTGTGTGAAACAAATTTAGGCTGACTTCATATGTTGCTTTCAGGCGGATGCTGTGCAGAATCTCGTTGAGCTCCTGAAAAGATAAAATGATGTTTGCAACTTTGAACTAAACAGACAGGCTCTTTACATTCTAATAATGCATGAGGGCAGAAGGCACATATAAATGGAATGGCGTGCACGTTTATTTACTAGTCTGCATAATGTTCAGGTTCAGCAAGCGCAAAACCAAAATTATGATCTGGAATTAGTTAATAATATAACTATTTGAGGCCTCTTGTTAAAAAAGTAACATTGATAGCACAGCCCATTTCATTTGCAGGGTGGGTGAGGTAATTGCTACGACCGTTAACATATTCCTCTTGATATTAAAAGTTATAACACGTATTGTAGTACATGTTGACGCATTTCAGAGAAAGAGATCATTTACAAATTCTCTTCGAAAATTATAACAAATATATCGCACATATATAATAAGTTTTCATACAGTGAATCGTGTAATGGATACACAACACACGGCACAATGGAGACGACATGCAGGCTGTGTGAAATATAAGATATGTATCTGTTTATCAATGTGTAATGAGCACTCGAAATCCTTGGATCAGAAGCTCAGAACAGTGACAAGCATCATCCAATTAATTCATTTGAGTGGTAATACTTACATTTAAACCAACACGCCATTTTAAACTAGGTCACAATATTCAAAATTAATTGTCAAGGCCGGGGCACACAAAATGTTCAAACAGAGGGTTACAAAGTGCAAAGTATTTCAAGCAAACTTAAGTTATCATCAAAAGTCGGATGAATACGCCGTTTATCCTGAATATTTGGAGTCCCAATGCATTGTAAGCAATAATTTCTACCATTCTGAGTGACATGCAAGTAACAATGGAAATATAGTAAAAGGATTCATGTCATAAATATTTGTCGTAAATATTTTCCTTATACTTCTGCGCCTTTAGTATTTAATGGCTGTGGTTGATGAAGAAAAAGTGATACTCACAAACATGTATTTCCTTCCACGCCTTCTAAAAGCTCGACCCTCTGACTGCACCACACATACCATATGCGTCTACACCCGACTCTGTCTAACTGCCAAGTGAGCATTCGGGAAGACAGCTCGCACTACGATGAACAACTTGTTGTTATGCAAATAACAACAGGTATAGCTAATTTGAGGTGAAAGGTTGTTTCTGAAACTGTTCACGAATGTTCAATAAACCCGGTGGTGATACCTTCACAGTGGCGGATTTAGGGAGGGGGTCAGGGGGGTCCTGACCCCCTCTTCGATCTCTGAAAAAAATCACATTAATGGTCTCCTCTTGAAATCAGAATTTTGACTAGCTGAATCATATTTCTGAGCGGTACCAAATGGCACCTTTGTCCTCTAAAATAAAAAAATTCGGGGCACTTTAGCGGGCTCCGGGCCCCTGGCAAAGGGTGGGGGGGGCGGCTTCACATCCGCGGACCGCCCCTGAACAGCCAATGAATATCTTTACAAAACATATTATTAATGTTCAATTGTTGTATGTAAAACACTGAAAGACTTGATTTGAAATTAGATAAATCATTTACTTGGCGATTTGATTTTTCTTAATCATTAGGCCTACGTAGTCGAGGTATTTAATTATATTGATTTGATTTGATTTTCCTTCCGCATTAAAAGAAAAAAAAATTTTCATGGTTATTAATTTTTACTTTTTATTTTATTTATTTATTATTATTATCATCATTATTATTTCATCTATTTATTTATTTATTTATTTGTGCACGTGTGGTGTGTCGGGTGGGAGACGTACGTAAAGTGCGCAAGGAAATATGAAACTGTCAGTGTTAACAGGTATGATGTAGACATAGACAATGTGACTGAAAAGTTTTAAAAGGCTTGTAAAATTCAGGGGCGGGTCCAGAATGTTTTTGAAGGGGGGGGGGGGGTACGGTTTTTTTAGGGATTGACAAACCAGGGATTGTGAGGCAGACCGATCATCTAGCTCCTTGGTGTCAGGTTCGGGACATGCTCGATGGCCCCGAAAAAAAATTGGTGTCTTGGAGGGCAAATGGCGTCATTTGTTACGGTTTAGAACTATGATTCAGCTAGACGTTTTTTTTTTTTTTTTTTTTTTTTTTTAAATTAAATCGAAGGGGAGGTCAGAGCGGTTTTTCTCCCCCCCCCCCNGTTGTTTCTGAAACTGTTCACGAATTTCAATGAACGCCGCGGTGATACCTTCACAGTGGCGGATTTAGAGTGGGGATGATGGGGGTCCTGACCCCCCCCCCCTCCAATTTCTGAAAATATCACATTAATGGTCCCCTCTTGAAATCAGAATTTTTACTAGCTGAATCATATTTCAGAGCGGTACCAAATGGCACCTTTGTCCTCTAAAATACCAAAAAATTTCGGGGCCCTTTAGAGAGCTCTGGGCCCCAGGCAAAGGGGGGGGGCGGCTTCACATCCGCGGACCGCCCCTGAACAGCCAATGAATATCTTTACAAAACATATTATTAATGTTCAATTGTTGTATGTAAAACACTGAAAGACCTAATTTGAAATTAGATAAATTATTTACTTTTTTTTCTTTTTCTTTTTTTAAATTAAATCGAAGGGGAGGTCAGGGCGGTCTTGCCCCCCCCCCTCCCCCTCAAATCGCCACTACAGTTTACCGTTTACCTTATGTAGTTGATAAAAACACAAAACGCGGATAGATTTTAAATATCTGTAGAACGATGGGCCCGTTACTACTCACAAAATATTTGCTAAACATATAAGTAGATTTGGGCGCTTTTTATATATTGAGTTATGTTTATATGTTTCAAATAATCGAATTCACCACTTACATTTCCCAAATTTCTTTTTGGGATTGTCACGAAAAAACACCAGCAAATATGCGGAATGGGATAGCCTGCCAGTGGCTTGACATGACCGTAAGGTGCTGCCGCCAGTCGACCAAAATAAGCACTAAAATGCAGCAGGGGGGGGGGGGAGGGCATGTAAAACTGACTGGACATTGGGGGCCTGCACGTGCCGTTAACGCAATTTGAATTCATCATAAAGGTAAATAAATATTCTGTCAACAAAATCAAAAATTTTTACAGCTGTACAGAAATGTTAAAATATTAATTAAGAAGCCATTTAGCCACTGTTTGCAGTTTGCACCTCGAGACGAGAGAGCCTCGAGCGTTGACGGTTACAAACCACTATTAAAAATCCCATTCACTTCCATTGTAACGTTTAATTCTCTTAAAATATTTCCCATGCTTCAACAAACACAACACTTCAGGTTTGAAAACTTTTACTCAAGGCCTAAACATAAAAAATCAGGGTACATTAAATAGGATAGCCTGCCAGTGACATGACATGACCGTAAGGTGCTGCCGCCAGTCGGCCAAAATAAGCACTAAAATGCAGCAGGGGGAAGGGCATGTAAAACTGACTGGACATTGGGGGCCTGCACGTGCCGTTAACGCAATTTGAATTCATCATTAAGGTAAAAAAAAATTCTGTCAACAAAATCAAAAATATTTACAGCTGTACAGAAATGTTAAAATATTAAGAAGCCATTTAGCCACTGTTTGCAGTTTGCACCTCGAGACGAGAGAGCTCGAGCGCTGACGGTTACAAACCACTATTAAAAATCCCATTCACTTCCATTGTAACGTTTTATTCTCTTAAAATATTTTCCATGCTTCAACAAACACAACACTTCAGGTTTGAATACTTTTAATCAAGGCCTAAACATTATAAAAAAAATCAGGGTACATTATGGGATAGCCTGCCAGTGGCATGACATGACCGTAAGGTGCTGCCGCCAGTCGGCCAAAATAAGCACTAAAATGCAGCAGGGGGTGGGCATGTAAAACTGGCCACAGGCAGTAAAATTTCACTCTGATATGAAATATAACATCGAATTATGGTCCAGTCATTCACATAGGTCTGGTAATAGAGGGAATTGTTTCAAGCTATTCCTTCAAAGAGCCAATTAGACTTGAGAAAATACAGCTTCACTGTGCGTACAACAAAAATATGGAATAGCCTACCCGATCAAGTTGTCAGGGCAAAAAGCCTCAACTCTTTTAAAAACAGATTAGACGAGTGGTGGGATGACCAGGAACTCAAATATGACAATTATAGGTCCGAAATCAACATCATCGGAAGTCACAAGTTAGTTTTGGAGGAAGAGTCCGATAAATCCAGTAGGAACCTGAATCGGAAATCAACGCTAATCTAATCTAATCTAAAATAACACATCAACATTAAAGGTAAATGAACACATTTATTTCTAATATTTATTTCAAAATTTTCAAATGATCCAAAATTGAAAAATAAACTCATTTTTCTCTTATGTGCAAATTTTCTTGATTCAAACTTGCTAAACAAGGAAGGTCGAAAGTGCCGTATAACCTGAAATGCCCGTGCACCGCATACGACTCTTTGCGGAGCCAGCATTGTGTCGGAGTCGACAGGCGATCTCGCCTAAAGCATTCAAATATTTTGACCAATCGCAAGCTAGCAAAACTATTTCTTCAAAATGGCGACTTTGTTTAGGGCTTTGCCCCAGGTTGTAATTGTAATACGTTTGCATTTTTAGAAAGCTTCCAAGGAGGAATCTTTCTTGTAACATACTTTTGACCTCTGAAGGGATATTTCCACGACCTGAAATTACTGGATAATAAACCGAGTGATGTAAGTCTTGATATTTTTCATAAGAAATGCATGTCAAGATTTTTGTGAAAGTTAAACTCGGTACTATTCCCAAGTAACAACTAAATGTTTTCCTTTTTAATGTAAAGTTTAAGGTATACCGTCACTAAATCGTAATTCTCTTAAATGAGAAACGGAGGGTAGAGGGATGATGTGTGAATATGAACCTTGAACATGGAGCTCATTTCATTTTAAATGCAAGTTTGTCTGCTCCACCCCTGACAGCTAGGGTTTTGTATCTCTTCTTCTTCTGTTTAAACCTGTCATTTATTCAATGAAAAAGTACTAAGGTGCATTTGCACTTCAAGTGATGTATCATGTAGCACTAATTTATCTCATTTTTCCCCTTTTTGCTTGGAAAAGCTCCCCTCTGGGTAAAATTTTATCTACTAGGTACATGAATGTTTCATAGTAAAAGGTCCACTTTTTCAGAAAAAGAACCCCAGGGGCGGATCCAGGGGTATTTTCTGACATTCCTCCACATTATCTTTCTTGATCCAATATCCATTTTTGACCATCATCCGACAGAAAAAATAGATACCTGTCAATGTAAATTTGAAAATCTGCCATCTTCCAGAAGACCCAGAAGATGGCCTAAATCTGCCCCTGAACTCCCTTTTGAAATTGCTTGCAATGGGCCTGATGTAAAACATCTTAGAGTCAGTATGACAGTCATATTGGGAAAATACTTCTTTTGTAATTATTTGCCTACTGGTAAATATTTTATTTCATTCTCGTTCTTAGGGAGCCCCACATCCAAACCAACAATTTATTGGCACCCACAGGTTCAGCCTCTCCAATACAGCACACCACAGAATTACCCGGCATCAGCAGTTTGACGTCAGGGTTAAAAGCCAGTGACATGAACTCAGGGTTAAAGGTCAATGAACTTGATGCCTCGTCAGGCATAGGACAACACAGTATGCAGGGAGACCACATTTCTCAACATCAGTCAACAACTCATGTAAATATTCAGCAGCAGCAGCAGCAGGGAGAGCAGCAAGATCAAATTGTCATCACTCCAGACATGTTACAGCAGCTGACAACAGGGACACAGCAAAATCAGCAGCAGCAAGTGCAACATTTTCAGCAACTGACAACAGGAGCTCAGCAGCAACAACAACAGCAACAGATTCAGCAGCATTTACAACAATCTCAGCTTGAACAGCAGCAGCAGCAAATACAGCACCTACAACAACTTACAGCAGATGCCCAGCAGCAGTCTCAACAACAGTATTCTGCTGTCAATCAAATGAATATGACAACTTTAGCAGGAACTAGTGAACTTGTTCAGCAGCCGTCGATCACCTCCCAATTAGATCAAGTCTCGATACTAAATACATCGTGCCCAGTTGGGTCCATTCAAGGAATGGACCAACAAATGAGTACCGGTCAGCCCTCTGTAGAGACCACCTCAACCCTTCAGTCTCTCCCTATGAGTGTGGTGACCAGTGCCTCCCCTCTTGCCATGGGTCAGAGTGTGATGTGTTATGAGCAGCAAGGGGTCACTATATACGTCCCAGGGCGGTCACTTCTCGGACAAAGTCCACCGCCGGCAGTCACTGCTGTCAACCCGATTAATCAAACTGGAAGTGGAAATTCGATCAACACCACTTCTTTTTATGCAAATTCAGGGGGTGTGGTGTACAATATGGGAGATACCAGTCAAACAGGGGTTAACAAAGGCCCTGAGAGCTTCTTGGGTGGCCAACATGGGAGTCTCACCATAGGTGATATAACCAGCGCTGTAGAAATGGGCGTTGCCTCAGCAACGGAAAGCATGGAAGAACAGGTGTTGACTCTGCCAAATGGCCAACAAATCCACGTGTCTGTGCTGCCACGTGACGAGGTCCAGAAGTTGTCTCAGCGTCTGTCTCCGCCACCAAAGCAAGAGCTGCAAAGTAAACAACAACAGGAACAGGAAGTGGATCAGAAAAGCGCACCTGGGACTCAGAAACTACAACCCCCTCCCAACCCGAACCAGCAACAGAAAAAGTCACAGCAAAATTTGAAGGAAGCTCCTGAAGTGGCACGGCAGGTTTCTAAAAAAGTGGCCATTGACAGAGACGTAAAGCCAAGTGTCTCGGTCCAAGATGAGTTACAGAATTATGGTGGACAACTTGTCGACTTCCAGGATACATTTGAGCATCTGTGGAAACTGGGCAGTGCCAAGAAAGAGACCAAGGTAAGGTGGTTCCAGCCAAACACAGGTGATAAAATACTTAACTGATTTTCTAGTAGATTTTCATTCATTGTCTGAATGGTACTGGTTAAGTACTGAAAAAATGAGTGACTCAGATACTGGATTCCGGAACTTGCATTCTAATTTAGCAACTGACCGACGTTGCAGTCTTAACCTGAGACCTTTCACTTGGTTAGGTAAATGACCTGGTCAGACTGGTCACCTGAAATTATACCTCACATATTTAGTATTATGATGAAAAATTTGTCTGCTTATAAAGATGTTAATTTTGGACGTAAAGACAGCTATGTTATAATTTCTTTTTGTTCCAGATATTTGAAAGTGTCACAGCCACTATCTCCAAGCAGCTGCAGCCCCTGATTCCCGGCTCCATAGATGTCCATCTCAAACACTTGCAAGAGACTCGTGATTTCCAACTGGATGAAACTGATGACAAATACACCATCTCTACAGACCTCGACTCTTTGGTATCAATCCGTCGAGACCTGCAAAGATTGGTCAATGGGCATGATAAAGGGAAAAATGACCGAGGAGTGATGTGTGAACTGCTGAAACCTGTCACCGTGACGCGGTCTGGACGTCAGGTGAAACCAACAACAAGAGAAGATGCCATTGAATTTTTTGATGATTTTAATAGCTCCGACCATGATGACAGTGAAGATCTGGTTGTGAAAACCCCAGTACGTAGGAGAAAAACTAAAACACCTTTGAAAATCACCAGTGCTAAGAAAGAACCGAATCCTTCTGTTATCATAGAACATGATGGCGACATGTGGGAAGGCGATGGAACCATTGACGAAACAAAAGTTATTGTTTCAAATTCTGATATACGGGATGAGGATATCAATCAAGAAGGAGATGTGAAGCCAGAAGACAGTTCCAATGATGATGATGATGAAGAAGGAGAAGAAGAAGAGCCAGATTTCAGCAATGATAACACGGAGAACAAAGACCCGGATGACTCCTGTCTCAGTGATGCAGAGGAGGGCACCACACAACGCAGGCGGTCAAAGAGAGATGCAGCAAAATGTAAATATTTTTAATTTTAAAGATTTTATATTGGATTTTGGACTTTATTTTAATATTGAAAAATTTAAGTTTTATTTTAAACGTCAAAAATGAGGCAGATGCTTAAGTTTTGTTTTCCTTTGGTTACTAAATTTTAAGTATGTTGTCTGAACTATTATTTATTCAGTATTTACAAAAGTAACCTGATTTAATAAACATTTGTGCATATTACTTTTCAAATACATTTTTACAGGTGAAAAAAACAAAGAGTATGAGGATACTTTACCCTTCAAATTTTGGTGTAAAATGTGTTCATTTAAAACTAAAAGGAAAGCTCAATTCGACAAGCACATGACTTGCCATAAAGTCTACAAGAAGCTGTATGCATGCACAAAATGTACTTTCAAAACAATACGCCTCAGTGTCCTCAAAAAGCACGAGATAAACACCCACAGCAAAGAATGCAAAAGCTGCCCTAATGCTAAATGCAAGTATAGGACAGACAACCCTGTATTATTAGAACGCCATATCAAGTACAAGCATAAAGAGCATGACGAGGGAAAGAAGAAGGTCAACAGATTTCTGTGTCCAACAGAGGATTGTGGGTACTCGTCCCATAGTATTATGCAGTTTAAGCGCCATCTGTCCTGTCACGCGGATATCATAAACGGCACGGACAAAATAATAATGAGGTACCAGTGCGAGAAATGTGCTTACAGTACTAAGAAAAAGGAACACTATTTGCGACATATTAAAGACGTCCATACCAATCAAAGGCCATTTTTGTGCGATTTGTGTGGGACTTCTTTCAAGCGAGCGGATGCCCTGCGCCAACACCGAGTCATCCACATGGAAAAGAAATCTCGCATCTTCAGGTTTAAATGCTCCACCTGTGACAAACCATTCCGTTCAAGGGTAGGTTTATAATAACCATTGACAAGAGACCATATTAACATTTCAATCTAAAATCAACACAATATTGCTCTCCAAGATAACATAAAAACTTGTAAAATTGCTGAAAACTGCCATATTGCTTGTATTCTTATTGACCATCTTTTTGGCACTTTAAAGGGTCAGTTGTCCTATTGAGATGTCTCTTTCAGTCTGATGAGTCAAAATCTACAAATTTGCTCATTGG